TGCCCGCATTGTTGATAAAAACTACAGGATAAAATAAAATTGTGTACTTTTTGTAGTTTTAATTTGTAAATAGATATCTATATTATTATTACCTTGAAATTTTTTTCTATTTATTTTTTTTAAAGAGTTAACATGAAATTTTTTTTTATTGAACTTAAATTATTTTTACTGAACTAAAAGTATTTTTACCAAACTAAAATTATTATTATTTGTTTAAAACTTATTTTTTCTGGTTTTCTGTTATTTTTTTAATAATTTAAATATATTATAAATGGATCTTATTTTTAAAAACTTATTAAAAAGAATTTTTATGATGGAAATAAAATCGAGTTATGGATATTTATTACAAGTTATGATTAATTTTGTATATATGAAACATTAGAAATATATTGATAATAAAACTTTATATTACATTTTTATCTTCAAAAATCTATCAAAAATTCGCTTACTTAGCATCATATGTGTCATACTAATATCTATTTGTCGCCTACATGACTCGACATTTGGTGAAATACTAGAATGCCAAGTGTCCTTGTCTCGTTGCCTGACTGCGAGGCCAGCGTTATATATTATTGATATGATATCATATAAGAATGATTTATTCAAATTATCTTCGGGTCAGTCTACTTAATACAGAATTTCAAGTTAAAGTGTTTAGCCCTAAGTTCCTAACTTTGGTTGCTTTCAAGATCTTTACTTCACTTATACTTCGTATTTGATTTTGCCGCATGTTAGAATTTCAAGGACTAGCGTTTTATTATCACGTGCTTGAAATTTTCACTTTTATGGTAAAAAAAAAAAAAGAAAATGATATACGTAGCTTTTAGGACTAGATATAAAATTGTAAAATTAAGAAATCATGACAAAAACACACTAGATTTACACGTGATTTTGTCATGAATTCCTAATTTTACACGATTTTCAAGAGTATATTTAATGTCTATATACAGCCTTAAGGACTACATATAAACATTACCTTGAAAAAAAGTCCCTTTTATAATTTCTTAGAGCTAAAAATCCTAACCCGACCCGAATAACCAAAAAATGCAAACTCGAAATTGATCCAAACACAAAGCGAACTCACCCCGACCCGAAGTAGAGTTGGCCCGAACTTGACTCGATACCCGAATTGACTTGAGCCGAAATTGACCTGATACCCGAATTGATCCAATATCGAAGCGACCCGACCAGAAGTTACCCAAAACCCGAAGTGACCCGACCTAACTTTGACCCGCATTGATTGACCCGAATGGACCAGAAACCCGAAACGATTTGAACATACGTGAAATGACCTGATCAAAAATTAATAAATACTCAAAATGACCTAATTGATTTAGGATTTAATTACTTAACCTGAATAATCACTTATCGAAAATAACCTAAATTAAACAGTATAGTTTTGTGTGTATAATATTGTTGAAATTGCGTGTAATTTATTACTCATAATAATTCATAAAGAGTTCCATTTGATTATGAACACTAGTTTGTTATTGTTATTTTTACTATTACTCTTAGAGTCTTAGCTTCTTCTTTTAAGTGTTACATTGAAATTTTTTTTCCACTATTCACTTTATCTAATTTGAATTTTTGACCAATTAATTAATGATATTGATCATACATATGAAACAATACAGTCTTGTGTATATAGTACTGTTGGAATTGTCTAATGAATATATTATTAATATTCAACTGTTATCCTTTATACTTACTGATAATAATTATAATATATTATTGGTCAAATTCCTACATCGACATAGACGAAAATTGACCAGACCCGAATAGACCCGACCTGAACTCAACCCGACCCGGACTTTACCCGATAATTGGACCCAAAGACTGATCCGACCCGAACTCTACCCAAAGTGTTGACCTGATACCCGACCAGTCCCGAATTACCATCGACCTGAAACCTAAATTGACCCGACCCAACCTGAACCCAACCAGAATATTGATTGACTCGACCCGTACGCGACCCGAACGACCCGTTTGCCACTATATATCAATGTTTTTAAATAATTTTCTCTCCTACCTATATAATTATATCATTCTTTATAAAAAAATTTCTATCTCCATTGGGTCTTGAAAAATTGACCTAACCGAATTGACCTGACTCAAACTAGACACGTTTGCCAGGTCGAATGATATTATTTAATATTAATATACGGAGTATTGATTAGAAAGTTTTGACTATTTTTTATTTTGAGAGAATATAAACTATTGACTTTTAATACCACTAAAATACCACTTTGATTTTTGATACCTATCTAAAATTTTACTATTTTATTTTACTACCACAAAAAACACAAAAAAAAAAAATTGCTACCACTTTTAATGGTTTTTGTTAGGGTTTTGTTACAGGCTAGCCATTAAATTTTTATTCATATTGCGTGTCAAAAAATGCTGTTTTAGGGGGTCATTTTTATTTTTAAGGGTCTTAATTATGCTCCGAAATTGGGAAAAAAATAACTTAAGTACCTCGTTTTGAATGTAAAAAATGTATCGATAAGCGTGTATATCACATCGATGTTCTAATACGTCCACAAAAATTAATAAAAAAAAAAATCGATGTTCTAATGAAAATTGGCCAAATGGTACAAATTTTTACCTACACCCCACGGCAGGGAACACTGCCTGCACCCCCCACCCTACGCGCGTGTTCTTCCCCTACTCCTTTTTATTTATGAATTTTCTGCAAATTTTTATAAAATGTTCATTTATATATTGGTAAATGTTCATTTGTGTATCATAAGATGTTCATTTTTATAACAAGAAGTTTTTGGTTCAAATTAATATATATTTTGAATTGAATATTAAGAATTTTATATAAATAAAAATGAGAGCAAATTTATTTATAAGGATTGCTACGTTCAAATCATTTTTACTATAAGAAGTATTGTATCATCCAATGTTCTTTTGGTTTATTCGTGTTTCAACAGATGTTCATTTTTGTATCGTCAAATGTTTATTTCAAGAGTTATGTTTTCGTCAAATGTTTATTTCAAGAGTTATGTTTAAGTTTTATAGTAAGATGTATGCAAATACATACGTCTTAGATTTCTCTTTATTTAAATAAAACGTTGTAACGGAGTAACAAATAATTTTCAATATAAAATAAATTTAATTTAACTACAACGATAATGCATTTCTATACAACTATACTATTACATGTAATAGTTCTATAAACATGAAATTGAATCAAATGTACATATGTGTTTTCCTAACTGAACATTATTTGTTATGTTTGATATAATAAACTGTGTAGAGAGAGAGAGAGAGGGGCTCATATAAGAATCCTCCTCTATATAAGAACCCAATCTTATATAAGAACTCATCTCAGTCGTTCATTGATTTTGATCTAACCATCTAAAATACTCCTTTAGTAATGGCATTTCTGTAAATCTTTATAACTATTTTTTCACACTTTAAACAAAAATACCCTAAATCTCTCACCTCAACACTTTATCTCTCCTCAGCATTTACTCTCTCCTTAGCCTTTTCTCTCTTCTCTACCTCAAAGAAAATTACTTGGTAAGTTTATGAATTGCTAAAAAATTCGATTTAATTTTATTTTTTGATTGCTTTGATTTATTTCTTGATTTGTTGTTTGTTTTTTCATTAGAATTTTTTGCGATTTTTAGTTTGATTTTTTGGTTTTTTTTCGATTTTTTAGAATATATTTTTCGATTTTCCACTTTTTTTTTCCGATTTTTCAGTTTTTTTTTTTTCCGATTTTTTATTTTCAACTTTTTTTTCAATTTTCCAATTTTTTTTTCTATTTTCCATTTTTTTTCGATTTTCCAGTTTTTTTTCGATTTTTTATTTTCTAGTTTTCTTTTCCAGTTTTTTTCGATTTTCCAATTTTTTTTCTATTTTCCAGTTTTTTTTGTCGATTTTCTAGTTTTTTTTTCGATTTCTTATTTTCAAGTTTTTTTTCGATTTTCTAGTGTTTTTTTTTCTATTTTCTAGTTTTTTTGTCGATTTTCCAGTTTTTATTTTCGATTTTTTATTTTGAAGTTTTTTATTTGTTTATTTTTATTTTTTCGTTTTTTTCGATTTTTTCTAGTTTTTTTTCAATTTCAAGTTTTTATTTTTCGATTTTTTTCTCTGTTTTTTTCCTATTTTTTTTTTTTTCGAGTTTCTTGTTTTCATTTTCAATTTTTTTTCCAAATTTTTTTCTTGCTTGAGTTTTTGTATTATTGGATTTTAATTTCAGATTGTTTTTTACTATAATAGAAAACTTTAGAACATAATAGAAAAATTTAGATCATAATAGAAATACTTTAGAACATAATAGAAAATCTTAGAATATAATAGAAATAATTTAGAACATAAGAGAAAACTTTAGAACATAAGGGAAAACTTTAGAACATAATAGAAAACTTTAAAATATAATAGAAAACTTTATAGCATAATAGAAATACTTTAGAACATAATAGAAAATCTTAGAACATAATAGAAATACTTTAGAACATAAGAGAAAACTTTAGAACATAAAGGGAAACTTTAGAACATAAGGGAAAAATAATACATAAACTTTAATTACCTTTTTCTTCCATAAGTAATTTTTACTACAGAACATAAGGGAAAAAATATAATAGAACATAATAGAAAACTTTATAACATAATAGAAAACCTTATAGCATAATAGAAATACTTTAGAACATAATAGAAAATCTTAGAACATAATAGAAATAATTTAGAACATAATAGAAATAATTTAGAACATAAGTAATTTTTTCGAGTTTCTTGTTTTCATTTTCAAGTTTTTATAAAGCATATGCAAATGCCGCTGGGTTTACTTCTAGGAAATCTACTACTACAAGGAAGAAGAATAACAAAGCTATAATTGTTTTTCAATATGGAGTTTGCAATAAGGAAGGTTTCAGGGCAACAAAAAAACCTATTGCTCAACAAATCGTTGATGAAGAAGGAAAAGTTCGTATTACTAGGAAACGTTTAGTCACTCGTGGAGGATGCAATGCTCACATATGTATGAGATATGATGCCGGAAAGTATGTTGTTAGTCATTTCAAAGAAGAACATAATCATTGTTTATATACTCCAAGTTGTGCAAAATTTCAAAGGATAATAGAAAAATACATATTATGCATAAGAAGTTGATTGTTGATAATTTAAAGGTGATTTATTTTTATGTGCCAAATATTGTTTTCTTTGTTATGATTTACTATGTTCTAAAATTGATCTTTAATCATATTAATTTTTTTCTCTTTTTTTTTTTGTACACATAATAGAAAACTTTAGATCATAACCTTTTGCCAAATCTCCTTCTTGCTCCTCTTGTCTTTCTCCTTCCTTCTCCTCTTGTCTTGCTCCTTCCTTCGACACTTGTCTTTATTCTTGATTATCCTCTTGTCTTTTGTCTTGCTTCTCTTCTTGTTCTTGAAAACATAATTATAAAACACAATATTATAATATAATTATATCATAAGAATTTGAGTTGGAACATTAACATAAACTTTAGAACATAAAGTGCAAACTTTAGAACATATAGCTTAAACTTTAGAACATATAGCGTAAACTTTAGAACATAAGCATATACGAATATTCTATTTCATTTTTTAGTACTTTTCCTTTTTCAAATCAATTTATTCAAAGAACATTAATAAGAAATGAGTTTGAAAATAATTGGAAATTACCAAGTATAGGTGAAGAGATACTATCATCTATCTTTTCGTTGTTATTCCTCTCATCATTGCTCTTTTCTCTTTCTCCTTCATTTGATGGCAAATCTTCATAATAATTACAAAACACAATTTTAGAACATAACTATATCATAAAGATTTGAGTTGGAACAAAAGAACTTGATTTAAGAGCATAATTTAGAACATAGGTATAATTTAGAAATTAAACATGTAATTACCATGTCCCAATGTCTTTGGTGACTTTTCATCATTGAATTTCTTCCATATGTTCATCAACATATCCAATTCTTCTATGAATGTCGGTTCATCGAAGAAATGTTGATTTTGACTAAGTATGGAAGGACTTTTTTCTGTTGCTTTTCTTTTTCTTGATTTACCAATGTCTATATATAAGAATACATAAGTTAGAGTCCAATAAGGCATTTATATATGTTGAACTATTATAAATATAAAAATTACACTTTAGAACATAGGCTGAAAATAGTTTAGAACATGATTATAATACCTTTGTGGTATAGTTGCACCAAATGTTGTCTATAAGATGATGCATTTTCCAAGTTGTTTCTTCCTCAACAAAGAGATCCTTTGCTTGTTCCAACATGATATACATCTCTTTCACATTAGATGCAAGACTTTTTGTCAAATCTCCAAATTTTCTTAAAAAGCCCTAATAATTTAAAACATAAAATAATGAATATTTAAAACATTACAGAAATAAGTAAATAAATTAATAAAAAAAATATATATTAAAACATTATACCATCATATCATTTGGAGACGTGATAGAATTACAAGTCATTGATTGGTTTTCCATAACTTTTTCTTTTCCTTTGTCTTTCCCTTGTTTTTTTATTACTTTCTTCTCCCCTTGTTTTTCTCTAATTGTCAAGGGTTGCTCTTTCTTCTTGCCTTTGTCATTCTCTTGCCTTTTTTCCAATCCCTTTTTAAATATAAATTATAAATTTTAGAATACATGCATAAATATAATGTATAGATAAATATAAAACGATAATTACCATTGATGGACCTTTAAAACACATATACAATAACCTTTAGAACATATATTATAAAGTTTAGAACATATAGTATAAACTTTAGAACATAAGCATATACAAAAATCATACCACATTCAATTTCATTCTTTCTAATACTTTTCCTTTTCCAAATCCAAGGTCTTTCTCAAACTTCAATCTTGTATGGAACCTTTCTTAATTCCACAATGGTATTAGTGGAACTTCACGTGGTGTCTCTAACCCCTTCCTTTGTACCCGATCAAAATAGGATACCTACAAGAACATCATTAGAAATACTTTAGAACATTTATATGTAAATTAGAACATAGATATATAATTTAGAACATCATTAGAAATTACCATAAGAAAGATTAAAGGACCCATGAAGAAAGATTCTCCATCTAGCCATTTTTTAGTAGTTTCCATCAAGTGCTCCTTAACAAATTTACACCAATCCAACTTAACTATATTCTTTGTATCCTTGCAACTATACAAAAACTTAACGTATATTTGCTTGTTATTAGTTGAACGGATGCAACTATTAACCACACAAACCAAAAAAATTCAAATGAATTCATCCGAAACTTGTTTTTGTTCTTTATCTACCTCTTTCACCTTTTGGATCTTACTAATCAATTGTGTTTTGTTGGAGCACCCTGTAAGTAATTTAGAACATGGACACGTAATTTAGAACATGATCAAAAATACTCTAGAACATAATAAAAATACTTAAGAACATAATCAGAATTACTTTAGAACATAAGCATAAATACTTTAGAACATAAGCAGAAATACTTTGGAACATAATCAAAAATACTTTAGAACATAAGCAGAAATACTTTGGAACATAATAAAAAATACTTTAGAACATAAGCAGAAATATTTTAGAACATTATTAAAATAAATTAGAACACAAGCCAAATAACAAGTTTAGAATACAAGCACACATAAAAATATTCATACCACTTTAAGGTTAAAGTTTTTTCTCCATTTTTGCATAAAGTTTGCACATTCATTCTTGTTTTCTATTGTATCAAGAATTGCTATATCTCCCATTGGCAATCCATATGTCATGTGAACATCAATTTCATCAAAGAGTATTTCTTCTTCTCTCCCTAGTAGCATCAAGCAACATCTCTTGGGATCAAAATTCGTAAGAAGTTGTTCTGTTAACCTAGATTTAAATTAAAGGTTTAGAATACAAAATACATATATATTAGAATTTAAATAAAAATAAAAATTAACATGATAATTGAACTTTAGAACATTAATTAGAACTTTATAAGAATTAGAACATAATAGTTGATATTTAAATAATAAAAACAAAAATAAAAGTTGATGCCAGTGCTTACAAAGAATCCACATAATGTGGTGCATCCAATTTCAAAAAAGCTCCAAATCCAATTTTCTTAATTGCTTGTTTATGCTTATCAGAAAGACCTACCAACACTTGTTTCATCAATTCCTTAGCAGTAACTCGCTGACCTCTTTTTTTTTTCCTCTTTGATTATTTTGACATCCTCATCATCCTTTTCTTTTTCAATCTTTCTTTTCTTACTTTTCATATTTTTTTTTTCAAAACCACCTGAAAAAAGTAGAATATTAGAAAGAATTTTAACATAATAAAAACATAAACTTTAGAACATCAGCGTATAGTTTAGAATACATGTATTTTAAAGCATGAACTTTAGAACATCAGCATAAAGATTTGAATTAGTTGATAAATTATTGTTATAAAAAATAAAGTTTAGAACATATGTACATAATTAAAACATCAATTTGGAAATTTAAGCATGTTACTTACAAAAATCATTTACTCAAAGCATCCCCATCAATGAGCATTTTTTTTGCTCATGAGCAAAAATGGTAGAAGATGTTCCCTATCAATGAGCATATTGAAAAATGCTCATGAGCAAAATGAAAACTGCTCATAGAATGAGCATTTTTTAAGATGAATAATAATCATGTGAGGTCCACAATGCAAGTAAAAAAAGAATTAAAAATAATATAGTAGAGAGAAATATAAGAGGGTATTAGTAAAAGTAAGAGAGAAGATGTACTAGAGAGAGAATGGGGAAGATTTTTTTTTTTTTTTAATCATTGGTGGGATAAAAATATGATCACAAAAATGCTCATGGGTTGAAAGAGAGAGAAAGTGGGTAGAGAAAGAATGAGGAAACCAATTTTTGCTCATTGTTGGGAATGCTCTTATTAATTAAATCATTTACTTTAGAATATAAGCATGAATGTATTAGAGCATAAGTATATAATTAATAAAGTTACATATTAATTAAATCATTAACTTTAGAACATAAGCATGAATGTATTAGAACATATGTATATAATTAATGAAGTTACATATTAATTAAATCATTAAATTTAGAACATAAGCATGAATGTAGAATATAAACATGCAATTTATGACATTAGCATATAATTTAAAACATCAACAAATAATTTAGAACCTTTTTACTATCATCATTCACGTCATCTCTTTTATCATCTTTCTTCTCCAACTTTGGTTCATCCATCTCATCATTAATATCATGTTGATCATCATTCTCATCATCGTCATCATCTTCTTCTTCCCTTTTTTTCATTTTTCTAGTTGGTTGATTCCTCGATGAAAACTTGACACCTTTTTTCGTTTTTGACTTTGCACATGTTTCTCAAATTCAGCTTTGTCAATTACTTCCGCTTCATTTTCAACAACTTTCCTTAAAATCAAATATAAATGATTTAGAACATATATGATAATCTTTAGAACATAATAGAAAACTTTATATCATAATAGAAATACTTTAGAACATAATAGAAAATCTTAGAACATAATATAAATTACTTTATAACATAAGGGAAAACTTTATAACATAAGGGACAACTTTAGAACATAAGGGAAAAATATAATAGAACATAATAGAAAACTTTATAACATAATAGAAAACTTTAGATCATAATAGAAATACTTTAGAACATAATAAAAAAATCTTAGAACATAATAGAAATACTTTAGAACATAAGGGAAAAATATAATAGAACATAATAGAAAACTTTAGAACATAATAGAAAACTTTAGAACAAAACAGAAAATCTTATAACATAATAGAAATACTTTAGAACATAAGGGAAAAATAATACATAAACTTTAATTACCTTTTTCTTCCATTAGTATTTTTTCCATCTAATATAATAGTAATTTCTTCTTCTAATTTTTCTCATTTTGGCCTTGCATTTTGCTACAATTTTAAAAAATAAAAAACATTAGTAACATTCCAACATTATTAATATATTTTAAACATAAGAATAGTTTAGAACATGTTGAAAATAGTTTAGAACATGCTGAAAATAGTTTTAAAGGTTTAACTCTTTACAAGATTCATTCAAGTCCAATGCATTTAAAGGTCTTTATACCTACAATTAATGGTAAGAGCATACAAGCCAACATAATCACCATCTTAGTCTCAAGCTTCTTTGTGTCAAAACAAACAACTTAAGGAGCTATAAGATGGACATGTCATAGAAGAGAATAAACATGGCAACAAAACGATGCTCAAACTCAACCTCGTTATTATACTTGAAACAACCCTTCAACCAAGACATAAGAAAAAAAAAACAGAATTAATACACACACACACACACACAGAGCGAGTGTTTTACTTTTATAAACTGTAGGGAACAACTTGTTACCCTCACCATGAGTTACAAGTCCTCAATTCAGTTTTACAGCAAATTTGAATCAATAAAATTATCATGATTAATTCAAATCATCTTCTCTGTAGAATTAAATTAAAACATAGACAAAACCGTGCTTGAGCTGAAGAAGAATAAGAACATATACAACGAAAATGAATATTTAACATTTTAACCTATCAACAATTTCACAGGAAAAGGGTGACTACAGACTACAGCATAATGGCACTACTAATGAGCAACATTCCAAAAAGTGAAATGGCAATGCTCGATTACTTAGGATCTCAAATCAAGTGTTTCCTTCGGGAGGCCACCCACCTTTTGGTAGGATGTTTTATCTCTAATAAAGGGTTTTTTGCCCACAAAGGCTTAACACTCCATATTCTCAAGTGCTTATATAATATATCTAAATCTCTTCTTAGTTTTTTTAAAAAATATCAATACTTCGATCCGTAATAATGATACATCAAAACATTAACCACCTGGATCACCAAACTCACCAATACAGCCAAAAAATGCACACAATAATGATAAATTCCCCAAATCAAGTATATATGTGCAAATCAAAATAAAGGTTTCAACAATTAATCATGAGCACAATTCAACACCATATAAATGACAATCACCCATCAACAGTTGAAACTTCGCTATCCCACAGCCAACAACATACATATTTTTTTTAAAAGACAACAAAATAGATCAAAATTAGCATCACTTAACAACCTCGGGTTGAGAGCAGGAATCCAATTTGAAATCAAGGGATCGGAAAATAGCCACTATCATGTTTCCATGTCTTTAAAACAGACCTGATACAATAATATCACTCACTGAAATATACTCCCGAGAGCCTTTTCTCATAAAACAGTAAATGACTAAAGATAACCCAATTTGATCATAATAAACCAACAAATCAAAACTGCAAATTAAAACAACCTGACTTAACTGCATGTCTGCATCTAAAAATTCTAATAAATAATGTAATTGATTCAAATAGCATCAGCACTCAGGCACAAAACTAAAGTAACAAGCTGCCTAATTATATATCTTGAATATGACTCACTTCGATGATACCAAAGCGCAACCAACAGCTATATAAAGCATCACTCCTAGTAACAAGCTATATGGTGTTGGTTTCAATACATTTTTGTTAAATAAAAACGAAAACTGATGAAATTGGAAAATAATTAGAACATAAATAAAAAAAACCGAAAAAAAAAATCGAAAACTGATGAAATCGGAAAATAATTTAAACATAAATAAAAAAAAATCGAATAAAAAAAAAGAAAATCGAAAACTGATGAAATCGGAAAATAATTTAAACATAAATAAAAAAAATTGACCAAAAAAAAAACAGAAAATCGAAAACTGATGAAATCGGAAAAAAAAAATGTCGAACTGATGATTTATGATCTAAAAAATCGAAAAAAATCAAACAATGAAATTCATATTAGAAATCGAACATAAATCAAACGTGAACAAAACGAACAAAATCGAGCATAGAAATCGCGAAAATCGAACAAAATCAACAACGAAAATCGAACAAAATCAACCCTAAAATCGAACAAAATCAACCATAAAAAGGCCAAAAATTATTGAAAATCATATCAGAAATTCATGAGAATCATGCAAAATTCATAAAATTAGAACAAAATCGAAGAAAACGTACCTGATTTGAGCAATTTAGGTGGTTTTTGCAGCAATTTGGGGAGAGAGAAAGTAAAGAGGATTGAAAGTTTGAGGAGAGAGAAAATTTTGTACGGTTTGGTAGGGTTTAGGGGTAGGTTTTTTGTTTTAATCCTCACCGCTCATCCTAATCTAATCCTAAGGATGAGATTAGTTTTTATATAACTATGGGTTCTTACCGGATCTCTCGCATATATATATATTAATATATATATATATATTTCATAAATATATAATCTGAGCACAATATATATGTTGCCTTCAACTTCCATACTTGATTATCCTGTACAATGAGAGGTTGATAAAAAAAATTAATAATAATTATAATAATAACACATTCCAAACAAAAGTACGTGAAATCTAAGGATTCAAAATTGAACATTTACGCATGAATAACAATTAGAATTCAGAAATGAACTCACTGTAAAGATATAAAAATCTTTCAATACATGAGAATGAAAATGTATAAAATCTAAATGAACATGTATTGTATTCTAAATGAACATTTAAATCACTTCCATTAAACAAAATATGACAATTAAATCATTTACAAAAATAAATTTAAACACATTGCTAGAAAATGAACAAATATTAATATCTAAATGAACATATTTCAGCATACAAATGAACATACACCATTAGTCAAATGAAAATTTTCAATATGAGAATGAACAAATAAAACAAATTTAATTAAGCATTTTTTAATATATAATAACAAACAAGTATTAAAAATTGAAACAAATATCTTTTTATATTAGAATGAAAAAATATAAAACTTATGAATGTGCTTAGATATAAAAATAAACATTATATTATACATATGAAAATTTTTCCATATGAGAACAAACATGTAATGCAAAAGGAATAAACATTTATCAAATTTAAATGAACATGTATTAATATCAAAATGATCCTTTTTGAGAACTAATATCAAAATGATCCTAAATGAATACGATTTCCATTTAAAATGATATTTTTTTTCCCATCTAAAAGGAACATTTATGATAGATACTAGCCAAAATTCATCAAATAAGAAATAACACTTTTTAGTGACAAAATAACTAATGTTAAATAATAATTAATGCTTCAATTTCATAAATCAAATTGATAATTTGTCTTTAATTTTACTTATTATATTTATAATTTGATTTTTTTGTTTTGCAATTATAATTTGAACATTAATCCTTCTACAAATAAACATAAAGTCCATCTAAAATGAACATTTATTTACGATAGAATAAATGTACTAGCGAAAATTCACCGAATAACAATTTTAATTAAATTATAATATAATCATGAAAATTCTTATGACATAATTTAATTATTATAATAAGAATCACTGCATTAAAAACTACAAACTCTAATTTAAATTCTTATTAGATATCTGAAGAATTCTAATGATTATTTATTAATAAGTAAATGACCATACACTAGTATATAATTGAAAATTTACCAAAATAAAAATGAACATTCATAAAAAAAATAAAAAAAATTCATTACGAACTAAATTTACATTTCTATAATTCTACGAAATAAATCAAATTATTCATTATATATATTAGGGTAATTGAAATCTATTTTTAATTATTTTTTTTCCAGTAATTGTATAAGCTAATAACACACACAACAAGTTAAAATCAACTTAAAATAGAGTATATAAAACATCATTCTACTATAATCTTAAGAAATCATTATTACCAAGTAAAATTATAAGAAATTATATCATGAACTACTACTATTGAAATTTCATAGTATTATTGAAGAATAAGCCAAATTAAAAGTTAGGGATTAATTTTTTTTTCGAAAAAAAAAAATCATCAACTTACAATTTGATTGATGGTCATTCTTTTGTAGAAATTTTTTTCGATTTCTTGATTTTTTTTTCTTTTACAAGTAGAGATCTAAGCGCATTTTTTTTTTCAAAAATATTTAGAAAATTTTGTTAGTTTAGGAGAGCAAAAGTGGTAAAATTATAATTATAAGGACAGAGAAAGTGGTCTCTCCTCATAAGTTTACCACTTCTTTTTTTTTTTTTTTTGTCAAGAAGTGGTAAAATTATGAGGAGGGATAAATTTTAAGGGAGGTGTTAAATACCGCCATCTAAAATTATCAAAACCGCCTACATTTAATGTGAATGGACAACCATGTCCTTAGTACTTCACTACTATCTTCCCTTTTGCCAACAATCACTAACACTTTGACACCACCACCCCCACCACACTGACCGGCGACCCACCGCCTTCCCTCTTTTTTTTTAAAAAAAAAAAAATCAGGCAATCGCGGTAACAAAAGCCCAAAATCAATTATCGTGTATGGTAAACGGAGCTCAAAATCGGTTACCGTGCATGGTAACCAATTTTAGGCTCCTGTTATCGTGCATGGTAACCGATTTTGGGCTCCAGTTACCATAGAATCAGTTAAGGTGCACGGTAACCGGAGCCCAAAATCGGTTGCCTTGCGTGGTAACCGGAGCCCAAAACCGGTTACCATTACCATTCATGGTAACCGGTTTTGGGCTCCGGTTACCTCGGTTGCCTGAAATTAAAAAAAAACACCACCTTCACGCCGGCTAGGGAAGGTGGTGGGTTGTCATAGAGGGGTGTGGTGGGTCATCGGTCAAAAGGGGTTGTGATGGCCAGTTGGAAGGGGTTGTGGGTTGCCGGGAGGATGAAGGGATGGTGAAGTAGTAATGGTACGATTGTCCATTCACACCAAATGTTGGCGATGGTGATCATTTTTGTTGGCGGCGTTTAGCAATCCACAATTTTAAATGTTAGTAAAATTACGATGAAAAATTTTCTCAAAAAAAATTATGAAGAAAACTAATTTATAAGAAGAGAGAGAAAATATAGGAAACTAAGGCCCTGTTCTTTTGAGCTTTTGGGCAGAGCAGAGCAGATTAAATTTCAGCAGAGCAGAGCATATTTTAGGATAGTAGAGCAGAGCAGATTTCAGGATAGCGTAGTAGAGCATAGCAGAGCCGAGTAGAGCCGAGCAGATTTCAACATTATTATTTATATTATTATTAATGTTATTATTATTATTATTACTATTATTATTATTATTATTATTATTATTATTAACAACAACAACAACAATAACAACAACAACTACTACAACAACAACAACAACAACAATAATAATAATTATTATTATTAGGGCTGACCCAGGTTTCTCACCATGAGAAACAAGATTGTTTATCACAAACACGTGGCATGTCCAGTTGGCAACTTTAGTAAAAAAATTCCACGTCACACAGCATGGTTAACTCACGCCGTTAGTCATTTTGGAACAATTATCACCTGGGTTTCTATTGAAGAAGTCCCTTCTTTATTATCCAACTTCATCTTCACATCTTCAATTGTACAGCTGCAATTGCTCAACTGCAATTAGTTTTTGCTTTGGCCGACTCGCCTAGTGGTGTTGGTGGTCATAGGTTGCAAGATCTTATTACGGTAATTTGTTTTCCCATTATTTCGTGTTGTTGTTTCTATTGGCGCTTTTCAGGGAGTTATATCATGAATTTTTGTGGTTTAATGTTTAATTTTTGTTAAGTTGTGTGAGGTGTTGTTGAATTAGGGCATTGGTGAAAGTTTGTTATTGTTCTGAATTCTTTTACTTTGTCAGTAAAAGTTGTATTTTGGTTAAATTACGCAATTTAGTGTACTTATATTTGTGCTTTTGCTATGAATCTGCTACTGCTGTTATTTTGTTATACTTGGCTATGTATTCTGTTAATTTCTGTTTAGTATTTGATATTAGATCGTATTTGTAGGTGGACATGGATGGTAATTTGTTAGGTGGGTGTGATGAGGTGGGTAATTTGATGGAAATTGGTGTAGAATATAGTCAACATGAAGGTTGTGTTTTGAATTCAAAGGGATGTGGTAGAGTTGAGGTGGGTAAGTTGATTGAAATTGGTGTAGATGGCAGTGAACATGAGGGGTGTGAAGTTTTGAGTGCACAGAACTTAAGTTCACTGGGAGGTGCATTTGCTGAAGTAGGAAACTTGATTGAAACTGGTCTTGATGCTAATGAACACGAAGACGTGAATACACAGTCCTTGGAGAACATCACCCTTACACAGAACATTGAAAACACTTTACCATTGCCCCACTAGAAATGGTAAAGCTAATAGTCCAGTGCAGAACTGCTCCCCAAATGAGACAATTCAAACCATTGAGACTACTGTGTCCACGAATGAGTTCAGTGTCATAACCACTATTGACCCTCCAAAAATTGGTATGGTTTTTAAATCCTGGCAGGACATTGAGTTGTATTACAAAACATATGCAGAGCAGTGTGGATTTGGGGTTAGCTGGGTGCACGCTGCTTCTAATGGTTTCAAAAGGATTAGCAGGATCACATGGAGGTGTGAATGTTGGGGTCTGCCAGACATGAGGGCCAAGCGGGAGGCAAGAAAAAGGGCCAAGTTAATGGATGTTGGTGGCTGTGTAGGTAATGAGAATGGTGACATTGGTGAGGATGAGCTTGCACGTGGTAAAAGGAAATCCAAAAAATGTTTCTGCTTAGCTAGGATATATGCCAGTATTTCAAGTGATGGCCTATGGGTTCTCAAAACCGCCCACTTAGAACATACTCATATTCTTTCACCAAGCATGGCTAATTTGGTGAACAAATATCGTATGAAGAATATGGCCTCAACTGTACGGAAGAAGTTAGTTAATTATTACGAGGAGGGTGTTCCTGTGACGTAAATTCGTGGGTGTTTAGGCACGGAGAATAACAATTTTCCGAATGTGAAGGATATGCAGCACGAGGTTTACAAGCATAGGCGCCTGAAGATGGCTGGTGGAGATGCACAGACAATGATGGATTACTTTGATTATATGCAGGCTGATAATCAAAACTTTTACCATGTCCATAGGTTGGATCAGATGATCGTCTAAAGGATGTGTTGTGGGTTGATGCAAGAAGTCGGGTGACTTATGAGGAATTTGGAGACGTGGTGTGTTTTGATTCCACATATCTAACAAATAAGTATGAGCTACCATTTGCCAATTTCGTGGGAGTAAATCACCATGGCCAGTGCATTTTATTAGGTTATGCTCTTGCTTCACACGAAGACTATGACACTTTTTAATGGATATTCCAACAATGGTTAGCTTGCATGGGGAACAAAGCGCCCGCTGCTATTCTCACT